AAACCTGTCCCGCGCGACCTCTCGGCTCCCTTCAGTCTCGGCCTCCCGGAACCCGTCTCAGGTCTCATGGAGCGCGGCTGCTTGGACCCCGTCCCTGCTCTCCAAGCTCGCCGTTCCTCGGGTCCCGTCATTGATCCCGTGGCTTTTGGGCTCCGGAGTCCCATCGCTGGCCCCTTCGAAGATGGATTCACCTGTCCTATCCCGGGCCCCATCGCACGTGGGCTCCAGGGTCCCGTCCCTGACCCCGTCCCGCCCGGGCTCCAGGGTCCCGTCCTTGACCCCGTCCCACCCGGGCTCCCGGGTCCCTTCCTTGACCCAGTCCCACCCGAGCTCTCGGGTCTCTTCGCGGTCCTCATTGCGCGCGGCCTCACAGAACACCACTCTCTCTGGGAAGTCCGTCCCTGGATCAGGCTCTTCCCGGTTCCCAGCTGAAGGAGACCACAAACATGACGCTGCAGCCGAAGCCACCTCGAGGAGAGTCTGAACCTCCCTGAAGAAAGGCCAGTGAGGCCAGACGGTGGGGGGAGAGGGGTGTGCAGGACGCAGATTTGGTGAGCGGATTATCAATAAAGGTGTGACCCCCTCCACCTTACCCTGCTCTGGCACCGCCTGCTTCACTGTCCAGCATTTCTGGCCAGTGCAGGGGCCACTCATTATGGCTTCTAGTTTACAAGCCTGTAAGGCAGCTTGATCGTCCATCGCCCTGTGTGTCTGCCAAGACTCAGCATTCCCCCACTCCACAGCTGACCTCCGGCTGCTCTGGCAGAGGCAGAGGAAGTCGGCCACACCAGCGTCCTGCCCACGAGGGCTGACAGTCTGGTGGCAGAGATGGACATCGCGAGCATGGACAGGGCATGTAACAGCAGGAAAAGCATCCAGCAGGCCAGGGAGAAGCTGGCCTGCGGCGTGTTGTGGCTGAGAGTGCCAGCGTGGGGCCAGCTGCTCAGGAGAGCCATCGGGAGGGGCGTGCCTTTGCTCTAGCGGCACGAAGAGCCACGGGAGTCTTTAATGTTTAACCTGTTGGGGGTAAGTTTTTCCTTTTTCTTTTTGTAAACCTTGGTTTTTTGGGGGGGTGATTAGGTTACCTATTTGTTTAATGGAGGTACTGGCGACTGAACCCAGGACCTCGTGCATGCACTCTACCACTTAGCTATACCCTCCCCCGGGAATAATTTTTTATTTTGATATAATTTACAACCTAGAGAAAAGTAACACATGGAAATCTCATATACCATTTATCCAGATTCCACAGCAGTTTGTGTTCTGCACCTTGGTTGTTTCTGTCTGTGCATTTTTTCCTGAGACATTTTAGATTAAGTTCGAGAGGACTGCCCCTTCACAGCTAAATCCTTTAGTGTTTCCCAAGCACAAAGACATCCTACTACACTCCCGCAGTACAGTGATCCCAGTTAGGAAACTTGGAATGGGGAATATAGTATTAGCTAATCCATAGCTCACGTTCAAATGTCAGTTGTCCCAATAGTATCCTTTGTGGCCTCTCCCTCTGCCAGGGCCCTGCATCACATTCAGTTGTCAGTCCCAGTGCGCATAGGCCAGTTATTACGGTGTCCCTCAGGTATGGTTTGCACTCATCCACGGCTATATCGGGGAGGTGGAGCGTGGGGGAGGCCAGGCCCCACACACCCTCAGTGCTGGCCGAAGGGGTAGGAACTTGCCCAACACAGAGCAAGGTTTTTAAAAACGCTAGGTCTTCAGACTGGAGTGCTGGGTTGCAGAGCCTGAGCAGCGAGATGGTTTCCTGTCGGGGTGGTGCCCATGCGGTGGGCGCAGACCCAGAGGGACCCTCGGGCTCTGCAGGGCCAACGCTCCACCATGGACCGCAGACTGCACACTCACGCGGCAGGCCTGGGCCTGGTGGAGGGAGGAGTTCAGATCACAGGTTTAAAACGGAGCTCCCCCGTTCTAGAGTGAAGATAATTTATTAGCCAATAGAAATTTTAAATAATACAGAACTTGCACAGAAGGCTGCTAATGTGCCTTACTTTTTTAAAGAGGTTTATTGTATTCATTTGCATTTGCAGCACAAGCAATAAAGCACACAGGCCCTTGTAAAAACAAAACAAAAACGGAGCTCCTGTTCATGACCTGTGTACCTTGACGGCCCTCCCACTACCCTCCTGGTGAAAATTTAGCTAAATGTTCTCGATCTGGGTTGGGAGAGTTTGTAGATGACTGGCAGCAGCAAACAGATTCTCTTGGAAGAGTTCACTTGAAACCCAGGATGGTTAAAGTTTCCATAACCATTTCTCTTTAAAAGGAACTAGGGCTCTTGTGAGATTTGGGGAAGGAAATAATACAAATTGAGTCCAGAACATCTTGCATCTTGTGCCAGAAAGCAAGATTGTTCCCAGAGAGAGAGCTGTCAGGACACAGTAGCAAAGTTAAGGGTCCTGATGGGCCAAGAAGCCAACAATTTCATCATCAAAAAGAATGCACTGAGTAGAAACACATATACAAAATGCATGAGTTTAAAGTACTGTAAGACCCCACTCCACTGGTCATCTTGAAGGTTCCTAGTACAATAATCCAGTATTCTGAAAATTAGTAAATGAAGAATCACATCCATTCTGCCTTTCCCATATGAACTGAATTTCAGGATAAACAAATTGTTGGTGAAGGAAAGTTATGTACAGAATTCCACCTATAAGTGCAGAAAAAATATTTATGTCATAATGGTTGCTAAAGCCTATTGGTGAAAGATTAATGAGGATAACAGATGGCTCCAGCTGATCTCCTGAGCCCCTGAATGACCTTAACTTTGCTAAGAGTGAGACACTAAGTGCGTCTGCACTGTGCAACTTACAAAACATTCTCAACTAGAAATGAAACTGGGGGAGAGTATAGCTCAGTGGTAGAGTGAGGTCCTGGGTGCAATCCCCAGTACCTCCATTTAAAAAAAAAGAAACAAAACTCTGATAATAATGAAGCTTCTAGCTCTAACTACCAATGTATACAAAATACAGGGGACAGAGGAACATGCTAAAAGACAGTTAGGATGTAATCATCCTATCCTCTATAAGGCAAATGACTTTTTTTCCCCAAAAAAATAAATGGCAAGGAATTTTAAAGGGGGGGAGTTCTTAACAACTGACAAACTTAAGACACATTTCCACTTAATGCAACTTGTGGACCTTGTTCAAACCTTTATTTTAATTTGTAGTGTTAAATCAATAGATTTAGACAGAGTTTCTTGGTAATTATGAAGCTACTGAAGAGCAGTGTATTCCACACTGCCTGTTCCCAGGCATTCTTCCCAGCATCTGGCACTCCACTCTCTCCTGCCGAGACAGCCCCTGTCCTCAAGACCCTCCAGCCCATGACTTTCCGTGAAATAGCTCCCTGAGAGACATCACCCAGAGTAGGCAGTTGTCAATTTCTTTGTAGTTCTGTCATTTTTACTTTATGTGTTTGAAGCAATTATTAGTTGCATTCAAGTTTAGAACTACTAGCTCTTCTCTGTGAATTGACTCATTTACCAATTTGCAGTGTTCCTTGCCTCTGCCCGCAGCCTGCTCCAGCTTTCTTCTGGTTTTGTCTTGCACACCCCTTTCTATGGGCGTCAGTTTCATACTTCAGATGTGTCCCTAGAATCAGTATAAATGGTTCTTATGTTTTAGAATACAGTCTGACAATCTTTGTCTTTTGACTGGAGTATAGTTATTTTACATGGGTTGATTTACGGTATTTATAGAAGTTTTTTTTTTATCAGTTAATTTTTTACTTACTGTCTCCTTTCTCTGTGTTTCATTTGAACCCCTCCTTCTCCTTTCATTTCTCCACTTGTGTGGAAATCACACTCTTCTCTGTTAGTGGTCACCTAAGAAATGTTAACAAGCACATTTAAGTTTATAATTCATGAAGATAATATTATTACCCTCCTCCCAACCCTCAGAATGCTTTAAATTTCTATCATACCTTCCTGACTTAGAACCTATTGATAATAAGATTTTAGTTCTGCTTTGCCTTTTGTTAACCCACAAATTGGACACTGTTATTCTTTATGAAAATTCATCCACCTGCGTACTTACCATTTAGGACATATCTGTGTGTATGTTATGCTCTGATTAAAAAAATTTATTTTAAAAATCCTGCTGGGCTAGTTCTGGTAGTTCCTCATTCCCTGCATGGCCTTCCGGCATCTGCTGCTGAACAGAGAGCTCAGACTCAGCCCTCGTCTGCCCCATCAGGCTGCCTGCCACCCCGACAGCGGCTATGGGGATGGAGGAGAGCATGGCCTTGAGGCTGGGCCACATGGGATACCAGTCCCAGGGACACCCAGCAGCAGAGGGGGTGGGACGGCCCCAATGGGCACCTCCAGTCTAAGCCCCTCTCAGACCACTCTCCTCTGTCCCCTGCTCACTGCTCTGTGGTTCCTGCCCCATGTAACCACTGCTCACCACACAGGCGCCATGGGGGCTTTTCACATGCCACCCAGAGACCCTCCCTAGGATTTCCAGGCCAGTGTGGTGAGCAGGACCACAGCAAGCCCACCCCCAACCCGCAAAAAGCCACTGACCCTGCTTAGCTTCTGGTCACTCAGCAGGGGCAGGGTGCCACCGGACAGGCCCCTCAGAGGGTGCAATGAGTACTCAGGTGAGGGCAGCACCTCCGGGGGTTCAGTGAACCAGGCCAGGCTGGGCTAGGGTGGATGCTGACACAGACTGGCTGGAGAGCAGGGGGAGTGGGTGGCTGTGTGGTAGGCAGGGCACAGGGCACCCTGTGGGTACAGCGACCCAGCCTGCAGAGGAAGGCTGCATGTGCAGGGAGGGAGACGACCTGGTCCTCCCTGCCTTGGCCTGCGTTGTCCCTCTGCACAGAGCCCGCTAGCGCAGAGAGGCCTGACCCTGGGGCAAGAGTGGAGACGGGGATGAGGGGGACGGCTGGACACCAGAGCAAGTAAAGGGCTCTCACTGTCAGGCTAGCCTGAAAAGTCAGTTCTTTGTGACGAAAGATCCAAACATTGAACAAAAAGTAAACACGTACCTGTTAGAATGGCTGAAGTCCCAGAGGCTGACACCACCAAGTGCTAAGGAGGAGGTGGGGCAACAGGAGCTCCCATTCACTGCTGGCGCGGGAACACAGAATGGTGCAGCTGCTCTGAAAGATAGTTTGGTGGTTTTTTACAAAATTAGCATATTCATACAACAGGACCCAGCAATCACACTCCAACCCAGAGGAGCTGAAAACTCAAGCCCACACAAAAACCTGCATACAGATGTTTATAGCAGCTTTATTCATAATTGCCAACGCTTGGGAGCAACCGAGATGTCCTTCAGTAGGTGAGCAGATAAATGATAGTCCAACCAGAAAATGGAATATTAATCAGCATTAAAAAGAAATGAGCCATCAGCCATGAAAAGACATGGAGGAACCTTAAATGCACATCACTAAGTGAGAGAAGCCCACCTGAAAAGGCTGCTTACTGTGGGATTCCCACTCTGACTTTCCGGAAAAGGCAAAAACACATGGTGACAGTTGAAAGACTGGTGATGCCAGGCACTGAGTGGGGACGATGCTACATGGTGGATGCGTGTCTGTGTATTCATACAGACCCACAGAATACAACACCAAGACGGACCCCCAAGGCAAACCATGGCCTTTGTTAACCACGCATCAGTGCTGGTACATCAGCTACGACAGACGAGCCACACCGAAGCGAGATGAGAAGCACGGGGTGGGGTGCTGGGGAGGCTCTGGAAATCCATACTTCCTGGTCAATTTTTCAGTAAACCTAAAGCTGCTCTAAATGTACAGCCTATTAGTTTTTTTTTTAAGTAAAAACATTAAAGTAGTGGAATCCTTTTATGATTCTGAGGAGTAGAAAGCCATTTTTTAATGTTAACCACTATATATAAAAATAGATTAAAGCCAAATTTCTACTGTGTAGCACAGGGAACTATATTCAGTATCTTGTAACAACTTTTAATGGGAAAGAATATGAAAATGAATATATGTATGTATATGCATGACTGGGGCATCATGCTGTACACCAGAAGTTGACATACTGGTTTTTTTTTTAAATTAATTAATTAATTATTTAGTGGAGGTACTGGGGTTTGAACCCAGGACCTCGTGCATGCTAAGTACACACTCTGCTACTGAGCTATATCTCCCTTGACACATTGTAACTGACTATACTTTAATTTTTTTAAAAAGCCGGTCTTTAACAAGAAAGAAAACTCCAAGGCATAAAAGAAAAGATTGTTCTGCAAAGATAGGAAAATCAACATGAAAAGCATTATGGTAAAATATACTATAAATTAGAAGATAAATGACAATCTTGGAAAAAATATTTACAGCGACCAAATAGACAAAACATAACTTTATAATAAACTGTAAAGAAAGAGAGCCAACGAAAACCTACCGGAAAAAGCAGGCACTAAAGAAGAAACCCAAAGCCAGTGCACATCAGAGAAGAGCAGCTGTCCAGGACACAGGGCAATGCCAGCGACAGCAGGGCCCAGGGAGGGAGGGCCCCCTGGGGTGGGGTGGGGCGCTGGCCTGCTGAGCCTGAGCGCGTGGCCGCCCCACCTCCCTGGCTGTCTGTTCCTGATGAGTTAGTTCTTCCAGGAGTCTGTTCTGCAAATACGCTGTGGACTGGATTGTGTCCCGTGAAAGATGCTTAAATCCTGACCTCAGAATGAGACCTGACTTGGCAACAGAGTTGTTGCGGATGTCATTAGCTGAGATGAAGTCACTGTGGAGTACGGAAGGCCCTAATCCAATCGGACTGGAGTCCTTACAAGGAATCAGAGACGCACAGGGAAGACCCACGATAACCAAGCCAGATATGAAGCCACTTGGCCACGAGCCAAGGGACACCAAGGATGGCCGTACCACCAGGAGCTGAGAGGCAGGTTTCAGAGGTACACCACTGGGCCAGTGCCTTGACCTCACACTTCTGGCCTGTAGAACTGAGACAAATTTCTGTTGTCTTATTTTTTTCCTTTTTCAGTCTTATTTTGTAGAATTTAATTACAGTTTGACTGCACATACACATTATATTGCATGTAAATACATATATACAGTATACTGCACTTTTTTAGTTTATATATATGTGCTAATTGTTTCTAAGAACAGATTAGATCTTTAGCTTTTTAAACTTACATAGTTATCAAAGGAATAAAGCCAACTACAAAATAAGAATCAACAGAATGTGGTAACTAATCATAAAGGACAGTCAAATGTGCTGACAGATTCAAGAAATCAAAATAATAGTTCATTTGTGTCATTATTATTGTTATTATTTTTTAGATTCTTCATATAAATTATGTCATATGGCATTTTTCTTTCTTTCCAGCCGACTTCACTTAGAATGACAATCTTCAGGTCCATCCATGTTGCTGCAAATGGCATTATTTTATTCTTTTTTATGGCTGAGTAGTGTTCCACTGTATGTATGTACCACACCTTCTTTATCCAGTCATCTGTTGATGGACATTTGGGTTGTTTCCATGTCTTGGCTATCATAAATTGTGCTTCTATGAACACTGGGGTGAATAAATTTCTGTTGTCTTCAGCCACCCAGTTTGTGACACTTTTGAGGTACATTTGGAGTATGGTTGTCCCAGGAGACAGATACAACCCACTCACACAAACAGACGTCAGAGTAAAATTGTTCAGTGCAGGAACAGGCCGTCCGCAGTCCTGAGCTATGGAAACCACGAAGCTATTAAGAGCAGGGAGGGACGAGGAGGCTCCTTGAGAGGCGGACAAAATACACGAGCAGAAGAACGTGGAGGGTGTGGTTCCATTACTTTGAGGGAAACAAGCCAAAATCATGTGCTCATTTTCAGGGCCCTAGACAAGTGCTCGAGGACACACTCGCTGTCAGCAGACTATCCCTCTGGCCTGAGGGCCAGGTGGGGGGGTCTGGTCTCTGCTGTTTCCCGGGGGGTCCTTTGTTTAGTGTGAGGCTTATATTGACCTGTAACTTGGAATAAATTTCACTAAAACAAGGTGAACTTGGCTCTCTTTTCCAGATAAAGTTGCCTAATTTATTGGTCAAGGGAATGAGGACCTCACCCCTCCCTACCCCCGCCCAGGGGAGGTCTACACTTTTCACGCTGGCAGTTAGACCACAGGGCCTCCTGGGGAGGGGGGTTCAATAGGTCACAGACAGGGACGAGGTAGCAACAACACACCAGCTTGGGTGTTCTGCGCCCCAAGTGGGAAGGTGTGGGATGCTGTGCTCTGTGGGCCAGGTCCCGAGAAGGCTGCTGGGCGAGTCGGGGAGAGAACGTGTGTGAGAGCGTGGACTCACCACAGCACCAGGGCCCAGACCAGGGATGAGACTCAGCTGTCAGTCTCCAGCGGCACACCTGTCCTGCCCCAGAGTGACTCATACATCCTCTGCCCCAGATAAATGCAGATAAAGTGGCGGCTGGGGCAGGAAGCTGCTGGCCAGGTGCACCTGCCCTGAGAAGGCTGGTACACCTTATGGGACACCTACCTCGAGGACCCCGCCACTCTGCACCTGGGGCCATGGCAACAGGGCACTGGCAGTGCAGACCTTATGGTGTCTTCACATTTCTTCACTACCACGCCTCTCCTTCTAAGCAGCGTCAGGAACAACGCACCAGTGCACGCGGAGGCCGCTGTGTCCCTCACCGCCTGCCAGCTGCCGCTCCCTCAGAGCCATCTCCACCGGCGCCCGCAGAGCCGGGCACAGAGAAAACCGCAGCCTGGGACTAACCAGCCAGCACAGGGGAGCCGGTGTGCTTGCTGTGCAGCGGCCGCCGAGCGCTGGGGCGACCTGCTGGGATCCACCCATAACCGTCGGCAGGTGGATGTAGTTAACTTCGTGATTCTGAGTTGTTCACATTAACCCCACGTGGTCACAGCAGGAGGCAAAAACATCGCGAAGGATTACAAACCAGAACCGGTGACCCGGCCCCTGGCTGATCCTGCAGGACGAAGCTCAGTCTCTGCAGAGCTCATTGTCCAAGACCGGCCATTCACACTTGCGCTGAAAGGCCCCCTGAGGGCTGGCTGGGAACAAACTAGCCACTGTCCTGCCCACAGCTCTGGCCCGGAAGAAGTACTGGTGCAAAGATGTGGATTCTATAAACAAAAGAGAAGCCACGTGGATGCTCCACTGGGGAGATCTGTTTACTCTGGAGGGCCCAGGGCTCCATGCTTACGTGGCCTCAGTGGCCATGACTGTGTGACCCCTCCCAGCTGGCCACTGACCCAGAGAACTGCTGCTGCAAACTGAATTGTTTCCACCCACCTCCAAACAAAATCCAGTGTGAAGCCTTAACCCCATCGTGGTGGTGTTTGGAGGTGGGGCCTTTGGGTGCAATAACGTCATCAGGGTGGGGCCCCATGGTGGGACAGAACCCTTAAAAAAGGAGGAGACACCAGAGCTCTCCCTCCCTCTGCCACGTGAGCACATAGTAAGAAGGCCTCGTCCGCAAGCCAGAAAGTGGATCCTCCTCAGAACCTGGCTGTGTTAGCGCCCTGATCTCACACTTGCAGGCCCCAGAGCTGTGAAGAATACATTCCTGTTGTTTGTTTAAGCCTCCTGGTTTGTGTGTATTGCCATGCAGGCCGAGCTGACTGACACAGACCCAAACATGACCTAATGGCTATTTCCAACCTCCTTCAGTATGTATTAATGACCTTAAAATATAAAT